AATTACACACATAAATAACATAAACATATACATACACGTACATATATAATGAAATACATCAGAGATGAATATATCAGAGTTCGATGATGTCTGGTAAAAAGGCCGTTAGATACGAACTGTTGACGAACGCAGCGTTTTTAGATGGTGTTGATAAACTTAAACTGTTCCGGTGTTATGTGGTAGCGATCGTAGCACGGAGATGATGGAATTATCTCAAATAACTCCTAATACCGTACAGAGACCAAAAGTATCAAAGTGCTTACATAGGCCCAGAACTTCCAAAACGTACCTACAGGTATTATTGACAATCCGAACGCCCCTCCTGTCTAGTCTAATGGAAAGGTGGTATTTAGGAGGGAGTAATGCTGCTATGTACTTTACAAAGTTCAAGTCTTTGTCTAGCCATTAACTACCGCTACGACTTGTTGGGTACTTCCAATACTTTAGAAGCTAAATAAGTTAATTTAGCTATATGAGCAATATAAAATATTTTTTATTATAATATAATAATAATCCATATACATAAAAATGAATTGCTGTTCGTTAGTTTCGCTAAAACTCGAGAACGGATGGACCGATTTGGCTGATTTTGGTCTTGAATTATTTGTGGAAGTCCAGAGAAGGTTTAAAAGGTAGATAAATTTGAAAATGCTCGGAATTGAATAAATATAACAATTTTGTTTTTCCTTTGATGTGTCCCCCGTCAAGTAACCGCTCTAACTGGGTTGCCAGTCGCAACCGCCATTCGAGCAGCTGAGGACCGGACGAGATGGAAACAGCTCACGAGACAGGCAACGGTCAAGTTTCAGGGACACGACCTTCAGCAATGAAGAAAGCGACGAAGAAGAAGAAGAAGAAGAAGTCCCCCGTCGGATGGATTCCTTTTGTTTGTTTTAAGTTTATTTTATACAAAAGTTTAGGTCTTTTATTTATCGATTGTAGCACTACGAAGTCTGCCGGATCAGCTAGTAAATAATATTAAAATTTTCGAAACCTAGCCCAATACGAAATATTTGTTCGATTGGATGGACGGCAAAATAATTTACATATCCATATTTGACAGGATTTAAAATTATAAATTAACATGTTCTCATAAGGAAAGAAGCTAAGTTGACTGTGACCAGACCTTCACGTGATGTTCGCTTGCATGTTTCAACACAGAGAACACAATAATACGTAATGCAGAAAAAGGCACCCAAACCGGTTACAAAATTGTTAAAAACTCAATAGATAAATATTGTTTCGAGATAAAATGCATCGGCATTAACAATGAGAGAGACAATGATAATAGCTATGAAGTGATATGACCGCTAATGGACAAGAGTACGTTTTAAATGACATCTTGCTATTTTGTTTCTATGTATGAAAGAAATATTGAGTTACATCATCACAGTAAATTAAATTAACTCAGAAATTGTTTTGGGCTTTATAAATATTTTCCTTATAAATGCTATGATATTAATGTTTAGCCAGAACGAGAAACAAGGAATATTTTCATCTCAGATTCATTGGTTTATTAGTTTTTAATTTAATAAATCAAATTCAAATATATTTTTTTGCGAAAGAAGATTTTTTGTCTCGTCGAATGTAATAGTAACGTAAGGAGGAAGTGTAGTATGTAGTAACAAAAAATAAAAATCTTTCATTCAGTGTAATTTTAAAATCATAGAGTAGATAAAATTTAGTATGGATATAATTTAAAATGTAAATGAATTAGCAAACTGGTTTAAGTTTTAAAAATAGTCTATGTGAGTAGTTTTATTATTTACTAGCGGCCCGCTCCGGCTCCGCTCGGGTCTTTAACAAAAATTTCAACGATATATGACTTTTTTTTTAAATAAAAGAACACTTATTGCGGCATAACTATAATAGTTAGACATATGCTGTCGCAACACTTTTTGTGAATAATAATGTGTTCTACAAAGTCGTACTACATTATTTTATTCTACCATCAATAGTTTTCGCAAGGCACGCGATGTAAAGAATATTTTAGGTAATTTTATTACACCTTGGGTTACATTATTGAAGTTTTAGTATGGATCCCTAATTTTTTTTCAAAAAAGATTATAGCCTATGTCACTCGGAAATAGTGTAGCTTCCAAACAGTGAAATAATTTTTCAAATCGGTTCAGTAGTTTCGGAGCCTATTCAAAACAAACAAACAAACAAATCTTTCCTCTTTATATTAGTATATAGATATAGATAGATAGATACATTTAAATTCACACGCGTATTGTGTGTGTACACATTAATGACAGTTACACGGTGAAAAAATGTTCGCCCTAAGATAAAAAAATCGATCATAATCTCTAACATCTCAAGATATAGATTCGTTTTATGTAATATCCTGATTTTTGTTTCGTTTTTGAACATATTGAAAAAAAGACTATTCCGAAAAATACCTATTGAGAATATGATGGCGTCAATCGTTATCAAATCTGCTGAATAAAAAAGTAATCTGTTGGAATATACGACAAAGGGAAGATCTTCCACCGAGCGGGTGATATTGCTCGGTAGACCGACGGTCCGAATGTTGTTGTCCGGAACTTGTATATATGCGCTTTATCTTGAAAATGTCGTAAGCGAAATTCAGGCATCTGTCAATTATCTTGCGTTGTATGATGGCTACCCGCCACAAATCGATTGAAAAAGAAAGCGGTATAGTGATATTGTCTAGTACAAAAGTTAATTTACCATTTACGTGGTGATCCCCATAAGCTGCGGTAACCACTTAACGCCAGGTGGGCGATATGCTCGTTCACCCAACTATGCAATAAAAATGCTAAGACCCACACAAATATTTTACTAAAATGAACGTTTTGTTTCTAATTTAAGAAAATACAAAACGCATCGCAATATTGCCTATCTCGTTTGTAAGTAAAACCGTGGAATTAACTTTTCATTCTTTTCCCGGGAACTGTGAGAGCTCTTTCTTCAAGCGAAAAACAAAAAGTATTTTCGTGATGGCAGCCACATGGTTTTGTTACAAATAAGTCAATTGATCGCCTGGTTGGTGGAGCGGTCACTGACCCAGACTACACGGACCCTGGCTTCGATTTCAGTCGAAGTCGGTATCAGGCTCACAGCCCACCTGGTGTTAAGTGGTTACTGGAGCCCATGGACATCTACAAAATAAATGCTACCACCCACCTTGAGATATGGGCTCTAAGGTCTCAATAAAGTTACGACGGCTGCCCCACTCTTAAAACTGAAACGCATTACTGCTTCACGGCAGAAATAGGTATCTACCCGTGCGGACTTTTAAGAGGTGCTACCGCCAGTAAAATGCCGTATTTTAGTACCCAATTATGTTTATCTCATGAACCCGTTCTCACGACCCCAGTCCCATAAAATGTTAATCAACTTTCCGAAATTATCCTTCAATATGCTTAGATTATAAAAATCTGTTTCGCTTCGTACAGTATCTACAGTTTTCAGGAACACTGTCTTCCCTGTAGACCCTTATAATGATTACTCATCAGATCTAAAATATTTATACAGATCTGTCAGTAATGTAATCTGGATTCTGTAAGACCCTTGTTAGAAAGAAAATCTTAATATACATTTTAACGTCACGTTTGAAGTTACTAAAGTATGTAATGAAAATAATAAATATGTATTAATATAATACATAAATAGGCATTGTACACTCTGTAATTTTTGTTTTGATTCATTTCTTACTACCCGTAACACAATTGCATTTGCAGTACTCTACTAATTAATAACTTAATAAGTAAATTACAGAGGACAATACACAGGGTCACTCGGCCTATAGAAACTCCGGTATTATCGGATCCAAAGACTAATAACACGTTACGAGTGAATATATACATCCAGGCAGAGAGACAAAACAAATATGAATGTTTGCCCGAGTTGAAATCGGCCCAGCAATTATGGGTGAAAATTTTCATAATTTCCTCTCCTATTGGACATAGATCCCCATCAATACACGCCACTGCGCTTCTTTTACAGCTCTTAAATTCAAATATTGCTCGAATGACAAGCGCGTTCGCAATTTTTTTAAATAAAACATAAATAGACGAAGAACGTAGTTAAGGATTTATTGATCAAATATTAATGTTTCCTGTCACAGTAAGCTGTGCAAACTTGTTAGTCCAGCTCGACACACGTTTAACGCATGAAAAAAAAACATACTTGTGATTTTAATTCTTTTCCCGGAAATTATTACTAATTTATTATACAAAACGTGAATTTTAATAGACTGGATTGTTGCGACCGCGATCTTAGTCATAGCCGGTGGGGCGGCCATTACGCAAATTCGAAATTCACGAGGATTTAAATTTATAACCGATACGTATCTTAAGGTAGCGTTAGAACGCTACTTTAATAAAGCGGTGCGACACGATAATCCTTTTATCGTGGCGATTTCTAATTACTTATACCTGACCCAGGTGACGAAGCAACGCAAAGTCACCGTAGTCCTGACATGTCTTGTCTAATCCCCTGGATTCACTTTCGGTGCTTTTAGGCCCCTCAAGCACTGGTCACCATCGACCTCGAAGAATTCGACGAGCCAACTAACCCATAGACATCTCAGTGGGTCGCGATTCCGATCAGGTGGAAGATTCTGTGAAGCACTGCTCTGGTTAGGGCTAGTGGTAGAAAACTCTCTCAGGTTGAGCCGTGAGCTCACCTACCCATTCGGGTTTAACAGGAATAGCCCCATAGGCTACCAGAATATATATAGGTAGGAAAAAAAATTAGACATATAATTCGAACCATCGCAAAACTTATCAACTGCCCTTACGCGAAGTAAGCATGCAGCATCCATGCAAATGAGTGGTAATGTTAAAGGCGATTGTGTTCGTTTTAATAAGTAAATCAACAAAATTTAATGTTTTTTTTTGCCGACAGGTGCAGTGCACATTTGAGAAAATTATGCAGTTGAGAACAACTACAAGAATACAAAGCACATTTCAAACAGCGCCATCTAATTTTCTAAACCGCCAGTTTTTGAAAGCCAAACGCAACTTTACATAATGGAGGATAATAGGTAAAGGATATAAAAAAAAAACATTGAAATTACAGCAAAAACTAGTCTCGCACTGCATCCCACCAATCGGTGCAATTTGTCTCTCGCGTTTAGCCTTCAACACTACCGATAGCATCTCTAATGGCCCACTGATATAAAATATATGAATAATGATCACAATGAATCGCGTAATGTAAATTGCATCCATATTAGAGGCTGGATGTTCTTTATTTCAACTTTTAGTCTTTGATATCACATATCATAATTGGTTCTGTAGGTTTGAGATTATTATTTAAATACTCCCGACGATGTTCGAAGTATTCTTGAAATGAATGAAGTAACAAAGTTTTGATACAAAACAAAATACGATTGTTGATCAATTAATTACATTATAATTCAATTTGTGTAGATTTGTCGTTTCAACCGTGGAGGGGGAATGTAAGAAGAATGGTATCCACATGGGAGCTAATATCATATCTCGTCCACTACGGTCTTCCTTGGAGACTGTCGAGCGAGGAGTTACCAACGCGCAGCCGGACACCTGGCTCCACGATGCCGGCTGGAGGAGAAAACGCTCTCTGGCACAGCTGACAAGGGAAGCGCTCCCCAGAATGGAAAACTACAGAAATTCGAAGAGAGCCCTGAAAAGACCTAGTTTAGGTGAACTACACGGTGACCACCTAATAACTGAAGAGGTGAGTTCTAAAATCTTCCAAGAAAATCGTTTTCACGGTCTATAGATAGATTATTTGTTCACTTTGCCAAAGAATCATATTTTACCTTAATAATGACGATGAATCGAGTATTATTTTCTAGCTAATTTATAATTAATAGCTTATTTTTAACCGACTTCAAAAAAGGAGGAGGTTCTCAATTCGACTGTATTTATTTTATAATTGTTACCTCATAACTTTTGACTGGGTGAATCGATTTTGATGATTCTTTTTTTATTAGAAAGCTGATTCTTTCCGTGTGGTCCCATTTCGATTTATTCCCGTTCTGATAATGGTATCCATGAGAAAACTATATAAGCCTTAAATTTACATTAAGTACGTGCGCTACAAATAGATGAATAACTCAATACCTCAATATCACGCCAACCGATTTCGATGATTATTGTTTTTAGTGTATATTAATTTGTTTTGGAATATCCTTTTTTTTCTATTTGATGTCGATTTTTGTTAAATCATGTCTATTTACAATTATACTTAAGCTCTTTCAAGACCTTGAATTCCCATTTAGAATTAGCGAAATATACCTACGAATGAGCATGAAGGTTGGTTCAAAAACACAATATTTACAATGCCCAATTCAAGCTACTGTTAGCGATGACACAAATAATTATTAAAATGGTCGAAAATGATTGCGACTGTTAAAATATCGTTAAGAGATATTAAAGTTATGTTACACGCAATAATAACCTGTACGGTAATTATTATTTATAATTCGTAGCCAGGTAATATTGGTAATAACCCCTATTTAAATTCATTACCTGATCAGAATGGACGGTAGAAGGGACGGTCGAATTCTAAAATTTGTTTTATTATCTGTCATCTAAGTACTTTATTTTATTATGTTTATTCCTTTTTTTAAATAAGATGTCACATTGATATATTGACTGTCATAGTAATCTCCCCTATCGTTCCCAAAAGGAGCTTACGAAGAGTTGTTGTCGATTTTATGTTGATTTGATGGGTTGAAGGTTGAAGACATTTACAACCCAAAAATAGGGTAGATGTTAGTGGACTTACTTCATACGAGAGCTTATTAAATGACGTACCACCACTAATTACGCATAATTTTTTCGTTGAATTGATTTTCATTGCATGGCGTTCATGTGTCATACAAATCGATTCATCCTGGAAGTCGTTAATGGGCGCATGTTAGGTACGTCATATAGTTGCTTAGAACAGTGCGCTTAGTGCGAGTTTTTAACGTTCTCGAAAGCGTAAAAGTTAAATCAAATTTGTATGGATTTGGAACGTTTGCTTACGTTTGCCGCTAGGGGCGCTGTTCCAACTGCATACAAAGAGATACTTTTACGCTATCGAGAACGTTTAAAAACTCACACTAAGCAGACAGTTCGTGCAAGCCTGCGGGTTGTGAGCACGGGGATAATCGCATTGATATACCGTTATTGTCGTCTAGAACATCGTCGGTATACCGTCTCATATGACAACCACCACAACATGTTCCTGTGGTTTTTATAAATCTTGCAAAATTAATCATATTTAAATAAACTGATTTGAACAATGCGCATTTCACTTCACAAATAGTTTCTACAGTGCTATTCGTATAGAAACGGAATTCGAATAAAGCCGCAAGGCATATTACTAGCTTCGCTCGACAGCATTGACTATTAAAACGTCTCAATAAAAACCTTAGTATTATTAATACATAACCATTTTAATTTATGGATTCGTACGTATTTGCGTTTCGTTGTGTTTGTAAAGTCAATTTGATATTACACAACCTTGATTCGGTTCTTGTAATCTAGCTGAAATGTTTGTTTACACAGCTAAATGTACTGTAAAGTTTTATGAGAAATTACTGGTATATGACTCGTGATAAATTCAATCCAAATACTGTTTATCCTTCTATTCAAAGAATCGTAATAATTTTGCATAGACTATACTCGACAAGTTCACGGCCTAGTTTTGAAATGGTGATAGGAGCTTAGGTTAGATGTCAAAACGCATATGCCGCCACCTAACTTTAGACATAAGGAGGCAATACTAATGAAATTATACAATGGCTGTCATAACATTCAAACCGAATTTCAATGTTGCTTTGTAGCAGAAATAGGCAGAATAGTAATATCTACTCATGCGAGTTTACAATATAAAAAACCAGTAATTTCGCAAGTTGAAAATTTATGCTTTTTGATTTTTATTACAAGTTATTATTCCTTCATCGCGGAAGTCATTCGTGAATACGCGCTGAGTATTTAATACCATATTGGTAGCAGCATACGGGATTTTAACACAGGCATAGTAGCATCGCTTGATGCGAAAACACTGCTTGTCTTTCTCTTCAGAACACGACGAGTTCAAAAAGTTCTTGGTAAACAGTTAGCCAGTCTTCTCAATTTTTCTCAATGAGGCTGAGACCGGGACAAAAGATCTGAAAACCCCAAACAGATTGAAGCCTTCTAGATGTGGAGGAAAATGCTGCAGAGCCAATGAAGTGTAAATCGGATCGATGTCTTTATACTCGCGATGCTCAAAATCAAAACGAGGCTTTCTAGCACCTACCTCAAGCTAATATTTTCGGATACTTTGTCAAGAAGGACGGAGAGAATCTCGCAAAACTGGTGGCTACAGACAAAGTGTAACGTGGGAGCGAAGTCTAATGTGTTGCTCTGACTAGATCCGCACCATCCTTGCTTCCATCATTTACAATGCTCTCCGAGTAGACGAAGACAGGATAAGATGACATCGTGAGGGCGTAGGTTATGGATGGAAGTGGTCACGACCTTCAGAAATTGGAGCACGGCTGAAAGAGTAGGAAATAGAAGAAAGCGGATCATGAACGGAGCATTGTCTCTGAATGCTAGGCTAAAGTACCTACCTACAAGTGGTCGAGGTGATTTGCCCTTAATAATATAGCCGTGAGCTAATCTCATTATTTAAAACAACAAAACCCCCGGTTCTTCAAGCCCCAAAGGCGACGTCAACATCTTTATTTCTTTCAATAAAATCATTAATACGTCCTTAACCTTACAAATATTAAGGAGCTCGCGAATGTTTGTGTAAAACGTTTATCTTAATTTGTTTTAATTAATGCCAGCGGACGGGCACACAGTAAAATTCTTCTGTATAAATTAACCTTGATAAGAGAACGCCTATTCATTTAAGTGACGAATTCATAACCACTCGCTAATTGTTTCAACAAAGACAACACTTGTTTAATTCATATATCTGTGTTGCTCGTTGATGCCTGAGGCCTGAGGAAATGGATATGTTGTGGTTATCGTAGGAACTAGCTGTGCGAAACGTACCTACTGGTTCGGTTCAGTGTGTTCCGCGTGTACATTTCTCAGCTATCTTTCACACTTGGTTTATTAAAAACTGTGTACTGCTGTCATTTTTACTGTTACTGGTGGTAGGACCTCTTGTGAGTCCGCGCGGGTACGTACCACCACCCCGCCTATTTCTGCCGTGAAGCAGTAATGTGTTTCGGTTTGAAGGGCGGGGCAGCCGTTGTAACTATAGACCTTAGAACTTATATCACAAGGTGGGTGGCGCATTTACGTTGTAGACGTCTATGGGCTCCAGTAATCACTTAACACCAGGTGTGCTGTGAGCTCGTTCACACATCTAAGCAATAAAAAAATAAAAAAAACCATCAGAGAACAATCTCTTCACAATCGAAATAGTAAACTTAGGTATTCTTATAGTTTAGAACGAGCCATTATTATGATGTCGTAAAAAAATTAGCGTTCAATATTGCTTACACTACTATATTGGAGTAAATTTATCTTCATCATGGTTATACCCTGGAAAAGGATAACTATTTATAGTATTGCATATACACTAATGTAAAATATACTATATAAACTGCAGCTGGGGTCATGGATTAGTTGTGTTCATTGTATTAAAGTTATCTAGGTGGTGGATACTTCTTGTCTTTTTTTTTTTTATTGAATCTCGTAATTTTATTTGTAATTTTGTTTTCAATAACTAATTTCGAGGCTTGCTCGCTATGTAAGTTTATATGCGTTTGCTGAGTGCACATATCATTTAAATTGCAATCCAGATCAGATTTAGATACAATTTGTACGATTTAGTTAATATGTAATGTATTGTAATGATTGTGATTTGTTTTGTGCATTGGTTATGTTATGCACGTTGATTTGAAATCACCTCAACATAATAGCGTCGCTGGCGTGTAAACCAACAGTGCGTGGAGACATGTGGTGTCTATTATGACCACAAATGCTGTCGCCTGTCACTCATCTGCGACGCGATAATGCCAACAATAACTTACATCACATCGTAGATAGTAAACTTATATTGTTTGGATTAGAATTATTGCGCGTACACTCACTCACAGCTGTACTAACACGGTACACAATATGGTAATAATCATGTGAATAGCTGAAGGTCATTTGCAGGAAGAGAAAACGCAGAATCCGAGAGACACAAAATCACCGACACCAGCCGGTGGAATCAAATTAGGATGGATACAAGTGAGTACCGAAAATTTGGACGAATATAGTAATATTTTAGAAATTTAGGTCATCTCCAAAACTGTTTTTGGCTATTACCACATTGCTTGCAAGTTGCGTACCCTCGGGCTATGGTAATGACATCACCACTTCTCTCATCATATAGCCCATAAGATACCCAATAGAAAAACATTTGGAATTATTTTTCTTTTGTTTACTTTGTTTTTTTTTTTGTTGCTTAGTTGTGTGGACGAGCTCACAGCCCACCTGGTGTTAAGTGGTTACTGGAGCACATCTACAACGTAAATGCGCCACACATCTTGAGATATAAGTTCTAAGGTCTCAGTATAGTTACAACGGCTGCCCCACCCTTCAAGCCGAATCGCATTACTGCTTCACGGCTGAAATAGGCGGGGCGGTGGTACCTACCCGTGCGGACTCACAAGAGGTCCTACCACCAGTAAATGAGATCAAGATAATTCTGCATACTCACATTATATCTAGATGTGTTATAATAATAGCTTGATTTGTTGATGTGTGTTCTTGAAATAAACAAACAATTTTTTGCCCTACCTATTCGCTGGTAGCTTATGGGACTATTCCAGATTCGCGCGGACGGGTAGGAAATAAACATCAAATTTCGTAAATCTGTACTAAAGGATCGAGACTTGGAACTCATGTCTCAAAATTTAGCGGTAGGCAGCGGCTTGGCTCTGCCCCTGGCATTGCTGAAGTCCATGGGCGACGGTAACCACTCACCATCAGGTGGGCAATAAAAAAAAAAAGCGCCATTTAAGTTGTTGATGAACTACTTAAAACCAGACGGGCCGTGGGCTGGTGCAGCCATCTAAGCGATAAAAAATAAATAAAAAAAGAACTGAATGAAAAGTATATATGTATATTTTTCGGGCAGGGTGTGTTGATACCATGTCTCCTGAACATCTGGGGCGTGATGCTGTTCCTTCGTATCTCGTGGGTGGTGTCGCAGGCCGGCATTGGCTGGTCCCTGGTCATTATTGCACTATCAGCTGTTGTGTGCGTCATCACCACGCTATCTATGAGCGCAATTTGCACCAATGGAGAAGTAAAAGGAGGTTAGTTTAAGTAGTATTTATTAAATACGAAAGTATAATAAATACTAACTATAATATTAGTTTTGTAAACGGTACAACTTCACGTCTGAAAAAATATTGTTTTTAGATATAAAATATATTCGGAGGAAGGATATAGATTAAATGTTCATAAATTAGATTACCGGAAGGAAGTACCACTATTGTATTTATATAATATAATATGTAAGCAATGAAAAATATTAAGAAAAAACAAACTGTTGCTTAAATAGCCAGCTCAAGGACGCTCAGCGAACCTTGGAAAGAGCCATGCTCGGAGTTTCTCTGAAGGATAAAATCAGGAATGAGGTTATTCGACAGTGAAATCTACCTACTTATGTAAAGCTCTCCCTCTTTAAGAACGGTTAGCTGGTAGATAACTCAATTGTTGAGTTAAGCTCGCCATTTTATAACTTTTCGCAATTATTATATTGTATTAACTGTGTGTACCATAAAAAATAAAGAACAATAAATTCATCGACATAGCTCAAAGAGTCAGTAGGCTGAAGTGGCAGTGGGGTGGCCATATATGCCGTAGAACTGACGATCGCTGGAGTTGAGGGGTTCTCGAGTGGAGACCGCATAGCGCAAAATGTAACGTGGGACGCCCCCTGATTAGCTGGTGTGATGGTGGATGAAGAGAAGCCTATGTCCAGCAGTGGACGACTATGAGCTGATAATTCATCATCATCATTCTCCCGCTCTTCTCCCAGTCACCTGGGGTCGGCGCAATATATTTTCTCCTTCCATACTCCTCTATCATATACCATTTCTTCGCTCACTCCCCTCTTACACATATCGTCTTTTACGCAATTCATCCATTTTTTCTTAAGTCTACCTCTTCCACTCTCCTGTGGGCTGATAATTATGATGCTTAAATAAAGAAATATGCGATTTATCTATGTAATGATTCTATTTGTTTTAAATCTATATAGAAATTAAATAACATTGTAATTGACTTGTTTGTATGTTTGTAAAACGAATACACCTGCATTCATTTACGGTTTGTCCCCAATTATCTTTGATAATTGTACTCTCTGCCCTTCTTTTGGTATTGAAGTAACAACAAAGGGTAATTAATGTTCCGTACAGTAAAAATCTCGGAATGCTCGCATCGTCGACGACCGTGACTACCGTACCACGGGATCGACGGCCGATTTCCAATCGGATTGTTTGTTAAAATAAATTTTGCATTCAAAGTTTCGCTCAAACATGTATTTGTTTGATATAACAGAGCAGAAACACTTTAAATTCTTAAATATTAAGCGTATTATATTATGTAAATTCCTGGTTTGGGTATGTTGACAGTGAAACGTCATTTTGATTTTAGATTAGCGATTAGATCTGCTCTGTCAGACTCGATAGTCTTTGTACAAAGTTAAGATAACCAAACTTCATCCACAACGTCTGTTAACCTTCAAGCCGGAACGCATGACTGATACGTGGCATAAGTGTCGGGTAGATGGAGGTACTCGAAGTCGGAAGTATCTAACGCTGCGGACAAAGTAAACGAAAGTAGTAATAGCAGTCAAGGAGGTTAACATCGATGATTTGCGAATTCAGTTATGATGATATTGGGTACTCCATATTAAATAAACAATAAAAGGCTTAATTGCGTTTTCTGATAAATGTATAATATAATGAGAAAACAACATTTAAAGCCCTTAATCTAATAAAAAAATATTTTTAAATAAACTGAACTTTATTTTTACTAATGTTAAACTTCACTGAATGACATATAAGAAAAATCCTTTTTAGGAAACTAAAGAGTTTTAGACTATGAAGGTCAATTGAAAACCATAGTCATAATGTCATGCTCGAGACATCATAATGCACGACAGTCTGACCCCAATTTCATTGAGCTGCAAGATAATATGACACTGAATTTTACCTTTAATAACGCGTTATGTTGGACCCTTTCCGAAGCAGATAAGATAAAGCACGGGAAGATCAAAATAACCCATCAGGACAATACATTTATATTGTGAATGTTTTTGCGAATTAGAAGAAAAAAACGATACACACAACGGCGCCAAGCTTGGTTTAATTAATTAGTTGTAGATGTTGGAAACACAGACGAGACTAGATAATGTAACAGTCAGACTGCACACACCCATTATATTTAGGAAAGGAATTGATCGGCCGATGACGCCTTGCTCCCATTATATCGTAGGGTTGAATACGACCTGTCGAAAGTCATATCGATAAAAAACTTAAGGTCCCGAATATAATTGAAACAGGGTACGATTAAAATTTTTACTTAAATAAAATATATCTGCTCTCTTCTTTTTCTTTACTTTATCCCACTAGGTGGGGTCGGCACAGCTAATTTTTCTCTTCCATTCTCTTCTATCAGCCCTCAGCTTAACACTCACTCCTCTCTCTCTCTCATATAGTCATTCACACGCTCCATCCATAGCTTCTTCCGTCGAATAAAATATATGCAATTTAAAAAAACAGCTTTTGTAGCAAATCGGCGGGCGCTAAACTTTGAAATAATATTTTTCATTCGGGTTATATTGTTCAACTAATTAAAAAATATGTACATAGATGTACATAATATATATACATATATGTACATATTAATAATATATGTACATAAATATAATATATACATATTGTCATAGGACCTTGATGTACGTGGCAATTTTCATGTTAGCCGGACGTCTTGAAATTAGTGAAAATTACATTCAAATATTCCGCAGCTACTTAGATAACTTACACGTCAAAGGAATAAAAACGTGCTAATCAAATAATTCACATACACAGAGTACCTCTAAATGTATCTACGTTAGTATGAAGATAGTCTAGTTAGAAGAAAGTTTACCTGGTTGACGAAAGGGGTTTTTGAACACAACGCTAACAGCAGTGTGTTGCCCACTTCAAGCTAATAAAAATGGCAGACCATCCAAGCAAAAAAAGGTCTCTTTTTGAATCGAGAGATTTGGCAAAAAAGTTTGGTGACCCGTGTAGTCTAGGCCAGCGATTCTCAACCTACGCATACCAATGCTTGCGGTACATTCCTGTCTATGTGTACTGTGAATGTTAAATGATTCAATTGAGACATCGACCTCATGTCTAAAAGGCGGCGTTGAAGTTTCAATTTTGAACCTTATTTTTTATGACGTCAAATCTGACAGATTGTCCCATTGAGTTCTCAGCCCGTCCGATGTTATGTGATTCCTGGAGGTCACTGGGCATTACAAATTTTAAGTCGATAAAGCTTAGGGCTGCACCTACCTCTTAATATTTTTAATTTCAACAATTTCTGATACTTGTCCGTGTTCTCTATACCTGTTAATATTCTCCCATCAGGCGGAATTTACTACATAATATCAAGATCTCTCGGCCCAGAATTCGGGGCTTCTGTGGGCATAATATTTGCCTTTGCCAACGCCGTGGCCGCGAGCATGAACACTATTGGTTTCTGTGACTCCATGAACCACCTCCTCAAGAGTTTAGACCTGCAAATAATCGACAACAGCTACAACGACGTGAGGATCATCGGCGCCATAGCTTTATTCGTGATGTGCGTCATCTGCGCTGTCGGAATGGACTGGGAGAGTAAAGCACAGGTCAGTTCTTATCTTTTCTTCTTTTTTTACCTTCGACACTCCAAATGACTTAAACGGTATGAACACAGATCATAGATCACAGTGTGTGTTTCTATGATCAGTGAACTGTGTTTCTATGATGATCTGTGGGTATGAATATGATGAATTGTATTTTATGTTTACCAAAATTGTGTGGCAGGGGTTAAAAAATGACTGTCATAAATATTGAAAACCGTGAAAGTATCTGTATACGTTTTCGTGAGCCTTGGAATAAACGCCGAGACTGTTTGACAGGTTGACAAGCGTTGAATAATAAAATTTATTTGTTAATTGAAAAGTCTATGTGTTTGTCTTGTCAAACAAGCCAACCCGCGTCGCGTCGTCTCCGGTTGATGTAAAAAATTACCCACGGATAAACAATACAATTTATTATAATTTAAAACCGTGCAACCAATGACATTATACACATAGAGATGTCGTACTTTTCAACTGTAACTACATAGCGTGAACGCACGTCAACGAAAAATGCGGACGTTAATAGGAAGTTTCTGGAAATATTCCATTGAACTTTTGGTATTGGTTAAATTAATTAAAAGTACGTTGAAATATTCGACAAAAGTGACTTTTCTCGTACGGGGTTGCCCATTTACTACGCCAATTGTATTGATTAAGTTACTGTGAGAATGAAATGTAAATGGGGCAAAAAAATTTTTACGTAAAATTGCTAAAATTCGAAATGCTATTAAAATAATAGGTTATATGAGATTTAACACCCTGCCACCAGAACTAAATAATTTTAAGGACTTGCTTAGTAAAATTTATAATTTTTACTAAATTTCGTTAAAAAAATTTCGATACTTTGTGCTCGTGGGATCGGATCCAGTGTTATTTTTCCAGCCCTGCCACCCTATAGTTCCGTCACTGGCCACCCTAACAAATTACATTTATTTTCGATCTTGTACTGAGCGATCGGGCGACCTTGCTGAACTATTCCGAGCCTTATTGAATAGCATCACGGTATCTAATTAATTCGGAACTGCCTTATTCTATTATCATGATTCGATTTGTGCGTACATAATATTGACATGTGACACTTACATTAATATAATTGAATTGTCTGATATATACAGTTGTTTGTGTCCCGAACTGGCAATATATTACCTTTCTGCTTATTATGTGTGTTGACAAATATGAGCTTTTGTAAGATATCATTTAGGGTGTCATCCATAAATTACGTCATACATTAACAGGGGGAGGGAATGTGACATTCCGGAATGTGAGACTGTGTGACAATGGGCAGGGGTGTCAAAGGCTATGTGAAGTTATTTTTTTTTATTGCTTAGATGGGTTTGACGAGCTCACGACCACCTTGGAGTTAAATGGTTACCGAAGCCCATAGATATCTACAACGTAAATGCCGCCACTTACCTTTAGATATGAGTTCTAAGATCTTAGTATAGTTACAGTGGCTGCCTCCCCTCGCCGGATCTTTTCAGTGGGTCGCGTTACCGATCCCGTGGTAGATTCTGCGAAGCACTGCTCTTGCTAGGGCCAGTGTTAGTAACACTCTCGGTTTGAGCCCCGTGAGCTCACCTACTCGCCGGGTTACGGTGACATAGCCTCTCAAGGCTATCAGCTTTGGTAGGAAAAGAAATAAGGCTACCAGCGGATAGGTAGGGTGAACAAAAATGATATGAATTATCTTTGTTTTAGAATTTCTTGATCGCGATTATAGTGGGCGCAATCGTCGACTTCGTTGTTGGTGCGGTCATGGGTCCGAAGAGTAACTTGGAGGTTGCAGAAGGATTTGTGGGCTTAAGTAGTAAGTCCCGTTTGATGATTTCCCCTTATTGAAATGCCTTTTCGTATCAACATTAAAGGCAATAACAAATTAAATCTTATACCTTTAAACTAGAAATTCTTGTATATATATAACCTGAATCTCGGAAACGGCTTCAACGATTTTCATAAAATTTTGTATACAGGGGATTTCGGGGGCGATAAATCGATCTAGCTACGATTTATTTTCAGAAAATGTTGTTTTATTCGTGTTTTCAATAATCAACTCTTCCCGACATCTATTGGCGAATAAGAATACTATTTTTCTTAATTGAGGGAAACTAACCAAGATGGCGTTATCAAAAAAAAAAAACCGAGCAAAGCTCGGTCATCATCTAGTAATATATAAACAAATAACTGGGAACAAATCACACACGGTCATCGGTGCCCCAATTCGTATTCCCTGTGTTATGGGTACTAGAGTCTGACATGCATATACGCTTAAATTAGATACATATAGATAATACAAATCGAGACAAAGAGCAAACAAACTTGTTCATCACACGAATGTTTGCTCCATGTGGTCAAGCGAGGTGATTAAATTTAAATATGTCATTTAAAAAAATCTTTGAAGCTATTTTTACGCTGTTAGATGTTGGAAGTTACGGAGCAAATATGTAATACGAAAATACGTAATTCTTCAATTTCATTTTCACGCCCAAACGATTGAGCCTATTTAGACCGAATTTGGTATGACGGTAAGTAGCGTCTCGGCTCTGCCTCTGGCATTGCTAACGTCCATGAGCAACGGCAACCACTTACCATCTCCCGATCCACTAACGGTGTTTTTAGGTACCGGTCACCGTTCTCGAACCCGTCGCTTTTTTTATCATTGAAGATTTACTGGTTGCCCGGAGGCGTTTCCAGTTTCACCAGGACAGCAAAGGCTCAGTCAGGAGGGGTGGGATTTGCTAATAGCTGCCCGAGCGCCTCCGAAGGAGACCTAACAGCTCAAGAGCAGCTGCTTCGCGAATGAATCTACTACCGGATCGGAATCGCGACCCGCTGAGAAGATCCGGCGAGAAACTCAGCGAGCTGATTCATGGGTTAGGTTACACGGCGAACTCTTTGTCGAGTTCGACGAGTACGGTTACCCGGGTCCCTAAGCCTGCTCCTAGTGTTAGAGGTGAAGGCGTCTAATGCAAAGGTTATTGGATCTGATGGATCCGTAAGGACGTGTCTAGGGCGTCGACGGTGACTGGCTCCTGCGTGATCAGGATTCGGGGAGTAGTCAGCGGCGGCAACGATAAGGCGATTATCATGACGCATAGCCTTATCGAAGTACCGTTCCGACGCTGACTTCATGTATTTCTGGATAGATTCGAGGCCCAGGTCGTCGTGTAGGTCAACGTTCCTCACGAACCACGGAGCTCCGACGGCTAACCTGCAAAAGCGGGATTGTAGAGATTGAAGGGTGTCTATGTGCGTGCGGGCCGCGTGAGCGAACACCACACTCGCGTAAGTCATGACGGGCCTTATGCAAGTTTTGTAAAGTGTCACCTTGTTCCGAAGGGACATTTTACTCCGCTTACAGATCATGGGGTAGAGTCTACCGAGAATAAACGCGGCACGGTCACGGACTGATTTTATATGCGGGCGGAATGTCATCGATGCATCCAGGGTAACGCCCAGGTACTTGACCTTCCTGGCCCAGGGTATGGGTTGTCTAAAGAGAGTAATCGGGGGTGTGAGATTCCTCCTCCTAATCCGGGAGGAAATCCGTGTGGAGCTTCGCCTCTGAAATAGCACCGCAGTACTTTTCGCTGGGTTGATGTCTATGCGCCATTTTCGGAACCACTGTCCTAGGGCTAGGGCTGCGCTCTGAAGCTTCTTCGCGATTAGGGACTTGTAAACTGGAATAGTAAACAGCCCGCTGAGTTCCTCGCTAGATCTTCTCAGTGGATCGCGTTTCCGATCCGGTGGTAGATTCTGCGAAGCACTGCTCTTGCTAGGATTAGTGTTAGCAACGTCGTCAGGTTTGAGCCCCGTGAGATCACCTACTTGTTAGGTTACGCTGCCATAGCCTCTTAAACTATCAGCTTAGGTAGAAAAAATAAATTAAAAAACAAACTATCAGGTGGGCCGAGTGCTCTCCTCTGGCCACAAATGCAATAAAAAAAATTAAAATAGTTAGAACCTTCTGAAAGAATTTAGTCTAACTTTCAATCCATTGGTCAGAACGGACTTTCTCCCACGCAGGCTGCAAGCGTAGAAGTTCGACTATGGGACATAACATTACCTAAAACACTTAAATGTTGCGAAATAAAAAATAAAATATTTAATAGCTTATTTGTTTACTTTCAGCATCAACGTTCGTAGAAAACTTCAATTCTGACTTCAAATACAGTGAGGGCATGGAGCAGAACTTCTTCAGTGTCTTCGCCATATTCTTTCCTTCCGTGACCGGAATACAGGCAGGTGCGAATATATCTGGCGATCTGAAGGTTAGTTTTTTTTTTATAATTAGATTTAGTTCGGTAATTTTGTATATTCTATATTTAAGTTCGAATATTTTTTTATATTTGTATTTTCATCGGTTTTATTTATTGTGTTTTGAATTACGATTTACAATTACGGTCTAGCTACATACTATTATTATACAGTACCGTTTTAATCGCGTTTTTTTTAAATCTAAAGTTTAATTGTGCAGTAGAATTTCATGAACGAACGCCCTCTGCTTCTAGTAAAAAAATATTATACGATCATGTAATTTTGATACTTTTGGTGTCAAATATATGTATTTTGCGATGAGACAAATTTCTTTGGCAATGACAGTTTTTGTATCATAATTTCTTACCCTGGTTTATAAGTAAATTTCTAAGCGACTAACCATACTCGCCCACTTCGCTGGCATTTAAAATTAACATTATTATTTATTGTTGTTCGCGACGGACATAGATAGTTAAAAATAGATATAAGTAAATTTGTAAATATTTGTTTGAAAATAAAGATTGGTCCTCGTGGTCTTTAATTTGGCGTGGGAACGCAGGAGCGAGTCACAATACGGGCAACTAATAGAGCGACTAGGCAAACAATAGGCGAGCGAGGCGGCCGAGAGAACAATAGACGCCCACCGTGCTCGGACTCATAATAGCGCTGGCCGAGTGCGCGTGGGCGACCATAAATAAGGGGCCTACCTCGCTGCAAATTCAGTTCGAGACAGCGAGCCGACGAGTCAAGACCTCTCCAAAAGAAGAGGAGAGCGCCAACAGAACAAGAAGAGACTCGCTCCTACGCCCTGCGCCGGTCAAGCCACGAGGACCGTGTGAACGCCATACTGAAGACTTCGTTATTTTCCTCGAACCAATCCCAGCACCCGTTCCGCGACAGCCACTGCGGCAATACTCGAGCCACCACGTTTCAACGAGAGTAAGAAGTCTAAAAATCACACGTGGTGGCCGAAACCTGAGCGGTGGCCGTCCGGAATAATTGTCATTATTATTTGTCTGACTAGGGAGCCCAACACTTATATAAATATTAGCCTATCCATTAAGTACATGTATTTCGTACATGGATGCCAAGTTTCAAGTCAATCGGATGCATGGTTCAGTAGTTATAACGGAACATCGGAACATACAACGGAACAAATTTTACCATTCTTCACACCTTAATACCATTTCTTTTTTAAATATACATTTTTAAAGGTGTGTTCATGAGCGCATTCATGAAGAAAAGCTTACATGTAATTATTTGGTGGCACGAGATATTAATTTATTATAAGCTGCGCTTTTCCTATTTCTGCAACGAACAATCAATGAATCCAGATCTGTACAATAAAATTTCTTAAATTTTACTTTTAATATTACTGGTGGTAGGACCTCTTGTGAGTCCGCGCGGGTGGGTACCACCACTCTGCCTATTTCTGCCGTGAAGCAGTAATGCGTTTCGGTTTGAAGGGTGGGGCAGCCGTTGTAACTATACTTGAGACCTTAGAACTTGTATCTCAAGGTGGGTGGCGCATTTACGTTGTGGATGTCTATGGGCTCCAGTAACCACTTAACATCAGGTGGGCTGTGAGCTCGTCCACCCATCTAAGCAATAAAAAAAAAACCTTTTTTAAATAAACATTTTTTAAGGTATGTTCATGAGCACCTTCATGAAAGAAAGTGTACATATTATTTAGTGGTACAAGATATTAATTTATTATACGCTGTGTTTTTCCTATTTCTACCGTGAAAAATCAATGCGTCCAGATCTGTACAATAAAATTTGTTCATTTTCTTACAATATTCTAATGCTCTTGTTATATCCAATCTCATATCTCAAGATAGGACTGTGTTAGCTAAGAGTTCCGGTTGCCGATAGCTCGTCTATTCGTCAGAGAGAAACGATTATATATCCCTGTAAATCGTTGTAGCTTGTGCCAATACTACGACTATAACATTCCTAATAGTTACTGATTTAGCTTGTATGCGCGTAGTTAAACACCGAAGTGCATTGTTCTCACAATGGATTTGTCAATAACTCATTATGTGTTAAGCAACGTGTTTTGAAAATGCGTTTAAAATAGCAAGTTGCGGGCTAATCAGAGTACCTAAATAGGATGATTCACTGAGCCACAAAATACGGCAAACACACCAGTAAAGAGATTAAAGGGCGTTGAAAAACTTGACGTAACGTTCTACTAATTCAAATAAAAGATAAGTTGACGGTTCCCAAACTAGGAAAAAAAAAAGTCGCTTCTCAAACGGTTATTCAATATTTCGAATTGAACGTAGGTGTTTTCGCGATAGGTCAATACGAGCTCGACACTACAAATTCTATAATTATCATGTCATACATTCAAACATCGTTCAACATATTAGATTAAAGAATTTCGGCATTTTAAAGCCAATCGAATGAACTACTGGATCCAATAGAAGGATCAATTTGTTTGACCTGCAAACGTATCGTTCTTGATAAAATCGCGCAGCGGACACCGAATCGATTCATTAAAGCCAATTGAAGTGGGCGATGCATGCCGGACAGTGAGTCACGATGTTTGTTATTTCTAATGATTTACATCGTTCCACTGAAACAAACACGGCCTCAGCGTTAAGTTTCATTCCGAGAAAGGAAACTAACAGCTTTGGTAGAACACGTGGTAATCACTCGCATCGATTGACTCATTAATGAATTACTCTTGCACGTGTATCTTAGCGCAACTTTGACAAACATCGTAGATTCAAAAGGGGATGGATATCTTACACGAATGGGCAGAGACATAACAGCGTAATACTCTTTCCTCCTCTAGTATTGAATTGACTTTAATTTTATTTTGTGTAGCTATCAGCGAGATTTTGTGTAAACAAACCTTTACAAAAAAAACCATCAAAAACAAACGTTAATAAAATATTTTGATGCTCGCCCAGAGCAGAGTTTTATTACCAGACGCACTTTACCACAAGCAGTGGTAGGTCGTAGGCTGGTTGCATTCAATTGTTATGTATTTCTAAAACATTGATTTCTATGTTAAACACTGGCTTGAACGCCGGTCGCTTAAGAGTCAGCTATCTAAATATCTATAGACATTTTTGTGAAGTGACAAGTGATGCAACGGGCAATATTTTCCCGACGTGTACCTATCCGCGAACTAGATTCACAATAAAGGAACAGCGTCCAGTATCAATTATAAAATTTATATCATGACCACTACTAGTACGACGCATTTTTAAGTTAAGTGATTACAGGAGCACTGTGACATCTAAATCGTAAATGTCGCCATCAACCTTGGTACATGAGTTGTAAGGTCTCAGTTTTTACAGTACAACGGCTGCCTCACCTCCAAACTGAAACGCATTACTACTTTACGGTGAAATAGACAGGGCGGTGGTTCTTACCCGTGCGGACTGGCAAAACGTCCTACCACCAGCAAATGTATGCGTTTAACCGGATATTTTGGCCGTCGTTTCCAATTTTGAAACTGTGACAGCAGTTACACAATACAATACATCGACCTTATACTTAGTCTGGCCATAAATACTGTTACAATTAAAAATAAAAAAAATTCTATTGCAAATAACATTTATTACTTTTACAGTGTGTTAGTTTAATACATAAATATAAAACAATTTAAAGTATAAAAAGCTTATTCGAAGTGGTCTCCATTGGCTGCAATACAGTCCTTTAAACGTTGAGGCCAGTTATCAATAGAAGCACGCACTCTTTTCATGAAAAAATGTTTTACTGCCAATCGTACGGATTGTTTTAGGGACTCCAAATTATCATGGCGTTTAGACCAAGCCGTACTCTCTAAAGCTGACCATAAATCATAATCCAGCGGATTAAGATCGGGACTAGACGACGGCCAGTCTTCACCTCTGATGAAGTCCGAAACGTTCGTTTCCAACCAAGACTGCGTAGATCGAGCTTTATGACCTGGCGCCGAGTCTTGCTGGAAGGACCATTCTTGATTATTGAACATGGTGTTGCTAAGGGGCTTCACTGCCTTCTCAAGAATGGTGAAGAATGGCATATACACTTGTGCCGATGTTTTGATACCTTTTTCACAAAAGTATGGCTCAGTCACTCCTTCATAGCTAATACCCTACCAAACCATCACTGAAGTCGGATAGTGCCCACGTAGCACTCTGTCGACTAGTTGGGAAGCTTCCTTAGAGCTTTGATCATAAATACGGTCATTTTGTTTGTTAAAATGTTGCTCAATTGTAAAAATTGTCGCATCCGTAAACAAAATTTTTCTATGACCTCCCTTTGCGTACCGCTTCAGTAGTTGTTTCGATTTTACCACCACATTCTCTTTTAAATTATCAGTTAAGAAATGACCAGTACGTCTCTTATAGGTTGCAAGTGCTAAGTCATCTTTTAAAATACGCGAAATGGTTCTAGGTGCTATCTTCATCTCCCGAGATAAAATCTTTTGCTTCCGGACAGGATTTCTTCGAATTCTTTCCCTTACTGCTTTGACCATCTTTTTCGTACGAACACTACGTGGACGGCCAGATCTTTTTCTGTCATAAACAGAGGAGGTCTCATTGCACCTATTAATAGCCCGGTACACAAACATTTTACTAATACCAAGCGTATGGATAGTTTTAAAATTTGCATTTGGCTCCGTACCTACTTTGTGTAATGCAATCACAGCGATTCGGTTCTCTTTATCACCCTACTCCATTTTAATATCGTAAAATATTGTACAATGTATTGGCGCCAAAATGAGAAAACTCAATGAGCAATCATATAAAAATGACAGATTCCAAATTCAAATGTAATATTTTGTTTATTTTTAATTGTAACAGTATTTATGGCCAGACTTAGTAAGTCAATAAGTACGGTGGAATTCACCTATCGGGTCCAAATATGAATCTAAGCTAGGTATCTATACAAATACACACACAAAAAAAACAGTCTATTCGATCAAGAGGAATTCAATGACAAATGCTTGTAAAGAACAATTGTATATAAGACTAAAGTAAAATCATAATAGCTCTCAGCCCAATGAGTTTCTCGCCGGATCTTCTCAGTGGGTCGCGTTTCCAATCCAGTGGTAGATTCCGCGAAGCACTGCTCTTGCTGGGGCCAGTTTTAGCAACACTCCCGGTTTGAGCCCCATGAGCTCACCTACACGTCAAGGAAAAGCTCAAATAGACTCTCAAGGCTATCAGCATTGGTAGGAAAAAAAATTAGCTGTTGTAATAGAAATATGAACCACAGTTTACGATGATGTTGTCCTTATCGTAAATCTGTAAATGATGATGATTGTTTACTACAATGCCTTTACCTGTTAACTCCGGCACCGCAGACGTGGAAATGAAGGTCGTGTATTTCGTTCACAACAAAATTAAATATTTTTTTACTGTAAAATTTATATTACATTATCATGAGCATATTCTCCAATAAGGTAATAAGTACTTTAGCATCTCAGATGTTTAATTGACAGTATATTTATGTTTAACAGTATTTGTATATTTTTAAATGCCGTTTGCTATTCTAAGTCGTATTTTACAAACGTTGTATCAAAAAAATTGTTATTAAATAAATTTGGGATTTTTGTTTCGAAAATTTTACCTTTCCCATTATGGCCGTCTAAGTTACCTAAGTCGTAGTTTACATGTATAAAAAAATAGTTATTAAATAAAAACCTTTTTTTTTTCTCGAAAATTATACCTTTCCTATTGTCTATTCTTTAGGACCCCGCATCCGCCATACCAAAAGGCACGTTATTAGCGCTCCTAATATCTATGGTGAGCTACGCTATGATGGTCTTATTCACCGGAGCCGCAGCCCTCCGTGACGCGAGCGGAAATATCACTGACCTGGTCATCAGCAACGGCACAGTTACAAATTACAGTGCGGTCAGTCAGTGTGCTAACAGCACATTATTCCCTTGCAAATATGGGATGCACGTTGATTTCGAGGTAAGTTGCAATAGTTATGTGACCATAGCAATTCTAGAAGACAAGATATTTTCAAATTCAAATTCAAATTCAAAATCATTTATTTCAACTTAGATGTCAGTATGACACACTTGTTGAATGTCAAAGTACAAAATTAAATAACAATGTTAACTCTACCACCGGTTCCAAAAAAAGCCACAGTCCTGAGAAGAACCGGCGAAACAAACTCAGCGGGCTTTTTTTTTGTTTTTTCTCAAATATATTTGAAAGATCAGCTTGCATATATACAAGTTCCGATAGCATTCATAGCGTCAGTCTACCAAGCAATATCACCCATTTGGTGGAATTTTTTCCCTTCGGTACTATCTCCAAAATTAGATACATGTCTAAATCGTCTAATTCTGTGGACAACTCCTTCACGTTGTATAGATAATATTAATAATATTGGATAATTATGTGTGTTATATAGTAAAAAATACAATCGTTTATTGCCTTCCGCACGGGAAACATAATTAAATAATAAATAGTATGTAGATGAAAAACGTCAAATAATATATGTAAAAAAAATGTAAATAAAAAAGTAAACGTCGCATATGGTCGCGATCCTCAGTAGTGAGGGAACGATATAGAAGAAGAAGAAGAAGAAATAAAAAATTTATAAATAAAACAAAATAGGATAGCTCAGCTGATGCTGTCCGTAGTGATTGCACTGAACAGCACTGATTGGAAATCAGGAACCTCCCTATGATGTTGTGTGGTATTTAAAGCTACGTTTTCACCGACTTACTTATCAAGATTTCACGTTAAACATATTCAAAAACTCTCTTCATTCTAGCATATTAAATAATCGAAGTCTGTTTCTAATGGTATAATAAAATCAGTATCCGTTCTTTGTTTAGATCATGCAACTGATGTCGGCGTGGGGCCCCTTCATCTACGCGGGCTGCTGGGCGGCGACTCTGTCCACGGCGCTCACCAACCTGCTGTCGGTGCCGCGACTCATCCAGGCGCTCGGCGTCGACCGCATCTACCCAGGACTCATCTTCTTCTCGAAACCGTACGGACGACACGGAGAAGCCTACAGAGGATACGTGCTCACCTTCTTAGTGTCCTTACTGTTTCTACTTATTGGTAATTATTTCAATTTAACTACTCTAACAACTGTACATAAACTTACTCGTAATCTAAAATTAAATTAATAAGTAAACAACTTTTTTTACTGAAAAATTAAATTTTATTTGTATATTTTATTTAGATATTATAAATCAATAAACAGATGATTTTTATGCTTAGAAAAGATCCGTAGTAATTATGTATTGTGTTACAGCGAAATTAAATGCGATCGCGCCATTGATCTCCAATTTCTACCTGGCATCATATGCGCTGATAAACTTTTGCACGTTTCACGCGGCGCTGGTGCGGCCTCTTGGCTGGCGACCTACATTCAAAGTAAGCTTCTTTTGATAGACATTCAAATATGTATTTGATTACGTACTGATATTAATGTATATTATACTTTCTCAGTGAAAAGTTTGAAGCTATAAATTTTTTTTAAACTAATAATCAACATCAGAATTTGATAGACATTCAAAAATGTATTTCATTACGTAAGGATGTTAATGTATATATTAATGTATACACTACAATAATTGTTGTTTTCCAAATAAATAAATTACAGTACTACAATGTTTGGGTGTCCCTGGCCGGTTTCCTGATGTGTGTCGGGATCATGTTGCTCATCAGCTGGATCATGTCGCTCGTGACCATTGCAATATTCTTCACGCTGTATCTCATCGTGCACTACCGTAATCCCGGTGAGAAAATATGGTTTTTTAACGTTATTTACTAAATTTCAAATATATCACTATAACCATCAATTATAAAGGTTATCGGTTTTTTTTTTTTCCTACCTATGCTTAGAGCCTTGAGAGGCTATTTCAGCGTAACCCTAACGTTTGTAGGTGAGCTCACGGGGCTCAAACCTGATGACTGTTTTTTTTTTTTTAAGATCCTATTATATACTTCAGAAGACGAAATCGAATAAAAATAACGACGGATTTTTCAATGCTACTTAAGCCAGGAACTCATAATTTTTATAATTTTTCATTTTTATTTTCAAGTCAACCGTTGTCAACTATTGCACTGTTGTTTGTACCTACAATTCGGGTGACATATATCACGTACCTTCTTATCGATGTTCTGAATTGATGATCAGTTTGTTGGTACAACTAAATAAATAAATAAATAGAATAAAAAGTACAGTGCGTGTCTTTGTCATTGAAATGGGATCACGTTCGTTCGTGCTAGAAAAACATTTATAAGTTTGTTTGAAGATCGTATCCAGAAAACTGTTTGAAATGCTAGTTGAATTCCTTGAAGGTTGTTTGCAAGATTTTATTTACATTCATGTGAATCACACGGTTTCTTTCGTCGGGAATTAATAAAACCAAATTTGTTTACGTTTGGTATAATTTAGCTGGAATCTATCATATGTATAATATTTTAGTAACAAAAATAATTTTACTTGTTTTGTTGATGAGTAAAAAAATTTATGAGTTACTGGTGGTATGAGGTATTGTGAGTTCGCACGGGTAGCTACCACTACCCCGCCTATTGTTGCCGTGAAGCAGTAATGCGTTTCAGTTTGAAGGTTGTACTGTAAGAACTGAGACCTTAAAACTCCATGCCTCAAGGTAGGTGGTGGCATTTACTGTCAATTTCATTATTGTCATTTACGTCAATGTCTATGTGCTCCGGTAACCACAAACAATTCGATTCATGTTTTTTATTTATTTTTTATTGCTTCGATGGGAGGACGAGCTCACAGCCCACCTGGTGTTAAGCGGTCACTGGAGTCCATAGACATCTACAACGTAAATGCGCCACCCACCTTGAGATATAATTTCTAAGGTCTCAAGTATACCTAGTTACATGTATCGAGTATGTGTCACAAAAATAGTATATCGTCTTAAGAATACATAGATGTGTTATTTGAATCGTTCAGATGTGAACTGGGGCAGTAGCACGCAAGCTCAGATGTACAAGACGGCGTTGTCCAGTGCCCACAACCTGGCCCGCACCGGGGAGCACGTGAAGAACTACTGGCCGCAACTGCTGGTGCTGGGGGGGCGCGCCCACGCTCGTCCGCCGCTCGTAGACCTGGGCAGCCTAATCACCAAAGCCGGCTCTCTTATGATCATTGGAGATATTTCGAAGGTATTATTATTTAAGGGGTAGGCAGCGGCTTGGCTCTGTCCCTGGCATTGCTGACGTCCATGAGCGACGGTAACCACTTACCATCAGGTGGGCCGTACCGTCTGCCTGATCGGGCAATAAAAATTAAATAAAAAAGGGTTAAAATTTACCACAATCTCTTTTTTCTTTTCTTGTGGACGAGGCAGATGAGCAGTCTGCCTCGCGTGCGATGGATCCTCATTTTTTATGAGATATCTATACGAATATTACAAAAGTGAACGTTTCGGTATTTCTTTTACTCGATTCACGCAAAAATGTCTGAACGGATTCGGGTGAAATTTCGCATAGAAATAGCTTACAACCTGGACACTTTTTACCACAACTTTTCAACACATAAGTTAATTTTATCATAGTCAATGATATGACCCGGACAATGTCGCGTTTTTTGTACCTATGCTGATAGCCTTTCAAGGCTATATCAGCTTCTCCTTGACGCGTAGGTGAGCTCACAGGGCTCAAGCCGGGTGTGTTGCTAACACTAGCCCTAGCAAGAGCAGTGCTTCGCAGAATCTGCCACCGGATCGAAAACGCGACCCACTGAGAAGATCCGGTGAGAAACTCAGTGGGCTGTGTCTATGGGTTAATTCACTCGTCGACCCTTTCGTCGCAAGCGACAGGCTAGACGAGGACGATGACCGGAACGTTGCTGCTGTATTTAATACGAGTATGTTGGTATCGACTGGTAGTTCATAGACCCGGAGTAACATTAACAGGTGTTCAACCGGAGAATAAACAACGTGTTTCATTTTGGGCAACCGCGGGACAATTCTATTGTGCAATTAATTCTATTGTGCAATTCATTCATTGCCAGAACTCATGGCTTAAGTCATTGTGAAAAGCTGAAAAAGAAAACTTACATAGATTATTATCTAAAGAGCTCTTACCATGTTTTCCGCATCGATAGATAAAAGCGAAAGCTTAAAAATAATTCGAAAAAAAAAACTTTTGACATTTTGTTCCGTGTTCAGGAAAAACTGTCATACAAGGTGTGCTCAGCGCGCGCTCGTGCAGATAACGAATGGCTGCAAGAGAGGAAAGTGCGCGCCTTCTGTTCGCTAGTGCATGGATTCAACTTTGAACAAGGAGCACGAGCCCTGATACAAGCAACCGGTGTCGGCAAACTGGCGCCCAACGTGTTACTCATGGGCTACAAGTCAGATTGGACAACAGCTTCGTCCGAAGATCTCGTTGCTTATTTCAATGTCTTACAGTAAGTCCTACGTTTGCTTAGTGTAGCGGTTGTATTCAGCCTCATTTTTGAAATAAAAAAACCGATGAATAGTTTTTCACATTCGGTGAAAAATTCGAAAACAAAAAATTTCAACAAACATTCATTTCTTACCAAAGACTTTTCGAGTAATTCTTTTTACCTGATTTAACATTACTATTAAATTCGATATCTTTTCTTTTGATTTTAATGCAGAAAACGAAATTTAAATTGTTACTATTTACTACTTTATTGTCTCTTTAGATAAGATATTATTACAATAATTAACAGCACATATAACATAATAGTTTAGGTTTGTATTAACGCATTGTTTATCAATGATCTTTTTTTTTCTGCTTAAGCTGATAGCCTTAAGAGGCTATTTCAGCGTAACCTTAGCTAGTAGGTGAGCTCACGGGCCTCAAACCGGAGCTAACACTGACTCTAGCAAGAGCCGTGCTTCGCAGAATCTACCACCGGATCGGAAACGCGACCCATTGAGAAGATCCGGCGAGAAACTCAGTGGGCCTAAAGATCTGATTTAATAAGTCGAAATTTGAAACTGTTCTATTCGTTAGCACGGCGTTCGAGAACCGTCTGGCCGTCGCTATAGTCCGTGTGCGCGGCGGGCTGGACTACGGCGCGGCGGGGGGCGGGGAGGAGGGCGCGGGGTCGCTCACCGTCACGTCGAGCGGCTCGGGCGAGCTACACGTGCGCCGCTCAGACGCGCTCATCATGCACGCGGACTCAGACCTCGACATCCACACCGGCTCATCCGTTAAAAACAATCTCCCCAGTTAGTATTCGGAATTCAAAGCAATCGTTCTGTGTGCTCAGTGCGAGTTTTTAACGGTCTCCATAGCATAAAAGTTAACCCAATTCTGTATACATTAGGAACAGCGCCCCTAACGGCAAACGATCCCATTTCATACAAATATGAGCTAACTTTTACGCTATCGAGAACGTTAAAAAACTCGCACTAAGCACGCTGAACTAAAAACGAATACAATATTCAGTTAAACGGAAAACAATGCTCACTTGTATGCATCACGTAGTTTGTTTAAGGCGAGTAGTGACGACCACAGAAAAAAACAAAATATTTCTGTAGTGACGACAAATGCTCCGTCCTTCTCGCACACATCACGTGTTCACGAGATTGAAATGCACTGATAATTTTCCGTCAGTTTTGTCAATAATGTGACCTATTGAGTGAAGTCGTTGTGGCCTAAAAGGATAAGACGTCCGGTGTATTCGTATCTATGCACCGGTGTTCGAATCCCGCGGGCGGGTACCAATTTTTCCAATGAAATACGTACTTAACAAATGTTCATGATTGACTTCCACGGGGAAGGAATAACATCGTGTAATAAAAATCATATCAATCAATCAATCAATTAGAACTCATATCTCAAGTTGGGTGGCGGCATTGACATTGTAGGTGCTTATGGGCTCCAGTAACCACTCAACACCAGGTGGGCTGCGAGCTCGTCCACCCATCTAAGCAATAAAAAATAAACCTCTTTGTTTTTTCAACAGATATTTTAACACTGTCGACTTCGCGATCGTTCACAATAACTGATGCCAAAGACATAAAAGATAAGAAAAAGAAAGACAAAAGGCCCACCGACATGCATCGTCAGATCATCTATAACGCGGCGAACGGAATTGAACTGTCTAAAGATCAATTAACTCAGATGTCAATATTCAAACGGAAACAGGTAGATAATCCATGGCCGCATTTACTATCTTATAGTAAACAAACAATATTAACATATAATGAAGTTCTATATAGTCTATTAAGGTTAACAATTGATAGATATAACAATTTAAACACAATGACTCATCAAGAGACATCCGAGTATTGATATATTTGTCATTGCCGATAAAAATCAACAGAAAATGGAGATTTATTGTTAATATTTTTAATGAAACTGCTTTGGCTGCAGTAACTATATTTAATATGAATGTATTATCTGAATCCGTAGAACGCAACGCATATATATTGTATCAGACGGTTAGAATGTTTGAAAACAAAAGGCGAACGATCGTGAGCCATTTTTTTTTAATATGCAGAGACTGCGTTATTCCAAAATGTGTTAAAATATCCACCAAGAAAGACATAGCTGGGATAAAAAACATTGTAGGTACCCAAAACAAATAAAAAAAAACTATTTTGCCACTACAATTTTCAAATGTAGAAGAATAACACTATAGTCGTCCTTGGCGACGAAAATTGTAAATTATTGGAAACGTTGGAAATAATAAAATAAAATCCAAAGAAAATACTACGTAACTATATAATACATATTATCTACAAAATAGAAATCTGAGTAACATGCCATCTTATACTTATCAAAACACTTCACATACAATTTTACGATAATATGGGGCTACTCATATGTTACACGTCCTTACGTGTCCATCAGGTCCAATAACCCTTGCATTAGACACCTTTAGCTCTAACACTAGGAGTAGGGACCCCGGTAACCGTACTCGTCGAAATCGGTAAAGAGTTCAATGTGCTAACACATTCACAGTCGCGATTCCGATCCGATAGTAGATTCATTCGCGAAACAGCTACTCTTGAGTTGTTTGGTCTCCTTTGGAGGCGCTCGGGTAGCTGTTAGCAAATCCCAACCCTCCTGTTGAGCCCTTGCTCGCCCACTTGCCCTGGTAAAACTGGAAAGGCCTCCGGGCCACCAGTTATCTCTCAAACATAAAAAATACTGATATGTCAATCCGTGTGCATTTCTATGCCCAAAGATATTTCTCCAATTATCGTATCTTTCCACAATGAGAAGAAATAAAATCTTTGTCTTTATAGGAATCCGGGACGGTTGACGTGTGGTGGCTATACGACGACGGCGGCCTCACAATCCTGCTCCCGTACATCATCTCGCAACGCTCCGCCTGGGGGAACTGCAAACTTCGTATATTCGCACTCGCTAACCGACTCAACGAAATGGAGCTCGAAGAAAGAAAGTGAGTGGTTCTTTTAATCGACCAGTTAGAGTCGGTACACGATCAGTCGTCGTGGCCTAAAGGATAAGATGTCCGGTGCATTCGTATCGAGCGATGCAACGGTGTTCAAATCAAGCAGGCGGGTACTAGTTTTTCTAATCAAATACGTACTTAATAAATGTTCACGATTGACTTCCACGGTGAAGGAATAATATCGTGTAATGAAAATCAAACCCGCAAAATTATAATTTGCATTATTACTGGTAGGACGTCTTGTGAGTGGGGCAGCCGTTGTAATTATACTGAGACCTTGGAACTCATATCTCAACGTGGGTGGCGACATTTACGTAATAGATGTCTATGGGCTCCCGTAGTCTCTTAACACCAGGTGGGCTGTGAGCTCGTCTATCAATGTATTCAATGAAAAAAAATCTTAGTTGTCCAGTCATCTTGTTCATGACTTACAGTACCAAGACTGACCGGTCGATGATAATCCTTCGTGCGATGGTCTTGTCATTGGATTAGAATTAATTTCAAAAAGCAAAAAAAATTGTGTAATATTTAATTTGAAAAAAATAAGACGGTGAGACTACCTACATTTACGGACGGATGTATTCTGTATCTTATTAACAGATTATTATGGTATAGGATCATTCGGTTAAATGAAAACCAGTTATATACATATTACAATTTAATTTTAAAAGATGGAATTAAAATTTTCCCTTCCGTAGTTACCGATATTTTCTTCATAAAGCACAGTTTTGTGTTTTAAATTCTGTTGATTTTCAGTATGGCCAATTTACTGTCGAAGTTCCGGATTGACTATTCGTCGTTGACAATGGTCCAAGACATAACGGAGCCTCCGCAAGCAGAGACCAAAGCGCTCTTCGATGAGACCATAAAGAAATTTACAAGTGATTCTGCTGCACCAGGTAAAAGCCAGCTTAAAACCCTACATTCCTTAATAACGCTTCAAAGGGCTGATAGAAATAACCCATATCTGCATTTTACGGTCATAATAGAATTCACCAGCTAAACCTGGACCCAATTACGTCATTAGCAGTGAGTTTTCAATTATTTCACTTTCCATAATTTTTTACAACCCTGGAATAAACTCCCTCTATGTTAATTAGGGAACTGTAGGACATCCTTTCTTCGAATTTATGTTCAACAGGTACATCATTAACAGCCTATTTATATCCACTGTTGGTTATAGGCCTTTCCCAAGTCACGCCACGGACCCCATCTTGGGCTACTCTCTCGTCTCCATCCATTGCAAGCTATTCTGCGTATATCCTCGCTCGCTCCACCCTGTTGCTGGGCTACAGTATGCTTATCGGTCAGCGGAACTCCATCCGGTCATCGTTCTCGTCGAACCCGTTGCTAGCGACGAAGGGCTCGACGAGCGAATTAACCCATAGACACAGCCCACTGAGCTTCTCGCCGGATCTTCTCAATGGGTCGCGTTTCCGATCCGGTGGTATGTTCTGCGAAGCACTGCTCTTGCTAGGGTTCGTGTTAGCAACGTCATCGGGTTTGAGCCCCGTGAGCTCACCTACTAGTTAAGGTTACGCTGAAACAGCCTCTCAAGGCAAGCTTAGGTAGGAAAAAAAAGGAACTCCAGAACTCGTCTACCCCAACGGACATCTGTCCTGTGACAGATATGATCGGCCAATGCTACTTCAGCTTGCTTATACATTGAGCTATGGCAGTTACTCGGATTCTCTGGCGAATGACTTCGTTCCAGATACGATCCCTTAGAGAAATACCGAGTATAGCTCGTTCCGTTACTCGCTGAGCGACTTCAAGCTTTCGAACCAATACCCAATTAATGTAAAGAAAGGCTGAAATATTACTGGTTTGAAATCATATGATTATATTTATCGAATTAAATAGGACAAATATATGGATTCTATCACCACACATTGACCCAAGCTTTAATCGACAATTATTATTATTACATTTCATCCTTTATAACAAAAAAAATTCAATATTTCACATTACGTACTACAACATATAAAAAATGCAATCACTTTGTTATTCTAATAACTGAATCATTACAACATCATTTCAATGACTAGTTAATCGCAACACTAGCGTATGAGTGCATTATCTATGCGCAACACTAAGTACATCAAATACTAATTGATAAGATAAGATAATATTTATTGATAAGACTCGTGCATCGTCTGCCCTAAATTAATGGTACTCCGGAAACCAACTGCCAACATTTAAAAGAAACCGTATTGTGAATCTTTTTCGATACTTATGTACTCGTCGCGATACGGAAAACGAAAAAAAAATTGCGCAGTTGAGATATTTCTTTAGTTAATAGTAGTTTATTTATTTTTTATTTATTTATTTATGTACACACAGAAAAGAGGACATAATACAGAGTAATAGGAAAATTATGTACAAAGGCACTGCCTCCTGTGAACAGTTAATGAAATGGACACTCAACTGGAATTGCCAAGTAAATAAAAACATCACTAAAAATTCCTCGAGCGCTTCCAATTATCATTAATCCCCGCAACATTATTGTCTCAAAGGAAAACTAAAGAAAAACTTTATTGCAGAGTGTCGTATTAGCGAGACGGAGTTGACGACGCTATCCGGTAAGACGAATAGGCAGCTGCGACTGAGGGAGCTTTTACTCGCCAACTCAAGGGACTCGAGGCTCATCGTTATGTCGCTACCCATGCCCAGAAAGGTGAGTCATGCGCATGCGCTGTTTATAACAAGGTACTGATAACAGCAAACATCGCGGACGTTAGGGAGACTCATGCAAAAAGCCACCCTTGAAACAAACTTTAACTATAAGTACAATAATAAAAATATAAACTTACTAGCTGTACCAGTCCGCTTCACTGGGCATTTAAAATTAACATTATTATTTCTCCCCCCCACAAAGATTCTCATCATTAACGCCCCCGCAACTGGTGTAGGGAGTCCAACACTCATATAAATATTAGCCTATCCATTAAGTACATGTATTTTCTACATGGATACCAAGTTTCAATCGGATGCATGGTTCAGTAGTTATAACGGAACATCCGTAAAAACTGTAGATTTATATATTAGTATAGATGATATATGCTAGTACTACTACTAACACTTTACCCAAGTAATTGGAATGGAGACCGCGTCCCTCAGAATGATTCGGTGGCATTATTTAGTATTTTTATTGAATAGTAGTGTGAAGAAGCGAGATAAACACTTTTTGCCACATTGTGGAAAGCGGCTTACAGAGTCCATGGACATCACAATGTGAACGCCACTATCCTACCTTGAGACACGAGGCCGAAGCCTGAATTGTATTGGACAGGGAGTGTCTCAACCCTCAATCCGGAACGCATTCACTGCTTGAGGACTATGGGCACCATTAACACGTATGCCATCTAAATTTTGGCCCACTGAGTTTCTCGCCGGATTTTCTCAGTGGGACGCATTTCCGATCTGGTGGTAGATTCTGGGAAGCATTGCTCTTGCTAGGGCCAGTGTTAGCAAAACACCCGGTTTGAGCCCCGTGAGCTCACCTACACTTCAAGGAAAAGCTGAAATAGTCAATCAAGGTTATCAGCACAGGTAGAAAAAAAACCATTTTTTGATATTGCTACAGATGTTACATAATTATTACTCGTATACATAATATATAGTATTTCTTCCGGTTTTCGGGCGTGACCACATAACCAAAACTGCTTTTCGGCTTAAGCTCGCACTGTTTTTAATACCTACGTTTATATAATTTCGAATTCTTTACAGTTTTTTTGGTCACGACCAAATGTATTATTGTATCGAATATATTATGGTAGCTCGAAAACATCGGAAATAATAAAATGATAACTAAAAAACGCGCGATTAAACCATAAACCTCGTATATTTGTTAAGTAGTACTATTATATCCTATTCTATGTTCTACTTAGGCCGTTAAATTAGTTTTAATTATTTAAACATATCGACGCTTGAAAGGCAAACGTGACTAAGCGACAATGCGTGAACTTTACAGTAGACTAATTTAAAGTTGAAATACCTGAAAAAAATTATATTTTAACGAATCTAGCTGTAGGATAGAAATGATTTTAATAGACCTAAAAATATTTTTTTTTGCTCATCGAATATGGTTATTGCCTATCATTTATGTATAAAGTAGTTATTGTCGCTTAGTCACGTTTGCCGTTAAAGCGTCGATATGTAGTTAATATTTTTTTTTTATTGCTCAGGTGGGTGGACGAGCTCACAGCCAACCTGGTGTTAAGTGGTTACTGGAGCCCATGGACATCTACAACGTAAATGCGCCACCCACCTTGAATATGTTTGTTATTACCTATATCCTATCCTATGTTTTACTTACCAGGGTTCCGTGTCAGCGCCGCTGTACATGGCGTGGCTAGAGATGATGAGTCGCGACCTGCCACCGATGCTCTTCGTACGAGGGAACCACACTTCAGTGCTCACGTTCTATTCTTGATTTGAATTTGTTATAATTTAAACACATGTTTGTTTTTGTTGATATATTCCAATATGGCGACCGTGAATTGAAAAACGAGCACGAAAAGCGGAATTATTTTGGCATCATACGATTGATTATTGTTAGTTAAATATTTAGATGAATTAAAAATGTAAAAGTAGTCGAAATTCATATATTTGTTTCGAAAAGTAACTAAAAGTATGGACTGTTTTTCTAAAATCCACCTTTACTTAAATGTTTCATGGCCATAAAAATTACGAGAACAAACCTATACTGAAATTTAATTATTGAATATCGAATTGGAATACTTTAATTATTAATAATTCAACTTACGAGTTCAGGCATTTAAATGTAAGGTTAAAATATATTTTTGTAACTTTTTTATTTATGTACATGTTTAATTAGGAAAATAGATGAAAGAGAGTGTTGATGAAAACATTGTTTCAAAGATTATGTACCTAAGGCTAGTCCCAGTGATGGACAATATTGTTTTTAATATATTCAGTATTCTTTGGTAGTATTAATTTAATATTATTTATTGAGCTTAATTAAGTACGTGCGAAAGAACTTCTTGTGATTTTTGTTACTATGATTTTCTTTATTATTATTAAGTACCGGCATTTTAATAACGACGGAAAATTTGAAATTTTCGTTGTCAAAACTTGTGAGCTGATATAATATGTTGTCTGTCATTTCATGTCAGACAATCAGTGTCTTCAAACACACCGTAATTACGGTAGATTTACCATATTTTTTCTAATTATACCATTTACCGTAGATATGTTCTATAGCGACACTCTACAGTAATTTCGGTCGCCTCCTAAATTTCTAGAATTCTGGAAATAAATTAAATTAATAATTTTTATTAATTATTAGATTTCTGGAATTACTAAACTTAATACTTAATTTACTGCTAGCATGTAATAAAATTAGTTTAATATTACTATTTTGTTACGGCAACACTGTAATGGGGAATTCTGGTTTCTGGAATACTGGGAATGAATTTCATTACAACTTTTGACAACGAAAATTATATATCTGTGACTGAAAAAAAAGACCATGATTTTGAAACTCAATGTTAAGTTACTATCTCATATAGCTCACACGACTCTTGAAGTCCAGCAGACTATAGATGATGATTGGTGGCACTTTCGAAATTATATCCAACAAAACAAGTGCATCGTGTATCGCAAATAAAAACCAAAGAAGAGTAATGGCCATTCTTGAATTTGTCACGTTGTATGTTAGGAATGCTATGCCACATTCAAACGCTGAATGTGAACGTATTTTTAGTGAGACTACTGACTTGAAGACAAAGAAAAGGTCAGTGGAAAAAATCAGTTGTCCACAAAATCTATTGCTGGTTCACGCAACAGATTATTAAGATATAGCTGTGTTAATTTCCATGCCTTTATATAAAAACGGATCTGCAGCAATTTTACTTGATTTAAGTGAGATACTTAATTATTTTAATGTATTTGGAAAATACACATTTCAGGTTTATTGAATAATTTTATCAATAAAAGGTTACCATAATATTTATTTTATCCTACGGTATTAGAGTTCCATCTACCGTATTTTTAGGCTAGCAACATCGTAATGTTTAAAGAAATTGTTGGAGACACTATAGACAATGTTCTATTGACTCGCTACTATCATAGTTACAGGCGTAAAGGCCCACGGAACCATGCTTGTATCTCTTGTATCTTTTATCTTTTAGTTTTATCTGGAGCTATGTTTTATAATAGTAACCAGTATTAGCTTAAGACATCCTTGATTGACTAGATTGTATTGTGTTTAACACGATCCACACACTAGCAACTATATCTGTCTCGCAGTGTATAATTCCCCGAAAAATGATTTGTTTATTTGTTTTTGGCACGAAATGACAATTAAATAGCGGATTAGTAAATTTTATAACCTTTTTAATTACAAAGAATGTAATATTTAACAAGGTACATACCTACTTAATTTCAACGTACTTAAACTATTTGAAAAACATACTTAACTTAATAATAGTAATAACTTAATAATAAAAAATAATAAAATAATAACTTAATAATTTAAATATTTTTAATTATACTAAATCTAATGCGTAGATTAGACAAATATCATATGAACAAGATTACTAATTATTATAATAAATAAATAATTCGAACCATCGATAAACTTTTTGACTTGATCAAACTATTTTCTCTAAGTTTAGTAGTAAGAAATAATAATCTAATTTTAATTTCACTTCACTTGCTTTTCGTCTTAATAATAGTACATTAGTTCCGTAATCTCGTGTAATTTATAGTAAAAAGTCTTAATATCATCGGAATTATCATGAATACTTTGACTGTGTCATCGGATAATTGAGTCGACTATTATCAAAGGCGGCAATCTGACTTTTGGACAATGATTGGTAAATCAGAAAAACGAATTATTGACTTTGTATTCCATTGGCAGTCACAAAACTCTTCGGAACGACATTTTAGATAAATAACAGGTTAACTATTAACCTTTATTTAATGCAGGTTTTGAACCGTATTCTTTGAAGGAGACGATTATATTCAAATCAATCTGTATTGACATATCAATAANAATAACTTTTTTACACAGTCGAAATTATATTCCTAACATTAGTAAAATAACATTTTAATACGATAGGTAAGAGGATGGAAAAAATGTATTTGGTCTAACTTAACGCCAATGCACATTATTTCATTTATTTATTTTTTAATTTTTTTAATTAAACTGTATACCAATTAATTGCTCCTTCAGGATTTATGTTTGTTTTTTTTTACGATTAAAACCGCGTAGAAAGTTTAGGCATTATAGTTGACGCATGCGCAGTACACATATTTTGCATACATTTATTCAACTAATGAAAATAGTAAACTAAAAAAAAAACGAGTAATTTCGAAAGAGAACAAACGTGTTTTATATAAGAACAATCGAAAATGAATATTTACGAGTCATTAAGGATGAAAAAATATTAAAAATTGCATTAGAGGGGCTAACTTGTAGGTATATTTTTAAATATTTTTTTAAAATAAATAACTGTGTATAGTATAAATAATTAAATTAATTAGATTGTACTCATCTACCCACTCATGTAAAGCTTTCCTTCTTTGAGAACGGTTAGCTGGTAGATAACTCAATTGTTGAGTTAAGCTCGCCATTTTTTATATCTTATCGCAATTACTGTATTATATTAACAGTGTGTACAAATAAAGAATAAATAATAATAATAATAATAATAACTGCAGAACAAACAATTATTAACAGTGAACAATCATGAACAAATGATGAACAAACGAATTAATAGAAAATAAGTATAAAATAGGAAAAAAAAATTTTTTTGAGGGGCTAACTTCATTCACCTAAAGAGCTCCTTTAAAAAAGGTGAATAGTATAAAAGAGCCACCTAGTGAGGACTGCGGAGACTAATATTCGGTTGCAGCGACACCTACAGTACAAGACTAAAACTAAAGCAAAAAAATACGAGAGTTGCACATCTATCTTAAAAAAGCTTAATTATTATGTGCACAATTTATGGGGGAACCGGTGAAAAATCAGGTGATTCGTTCAACTAATTAGTGCGCACTTTGCGATTCGTCATACGCAATATCGCAATTTGGCGGCTGGATAATATAATAAATCTACGAAGTTTTAGTGTTGGCTCACAATTTATCGACAGCTTATAACCTCACTAGATTAATAATAATTGTAAACTTTTTTTTTTGCTTAGATGGGTTGACGAGCTCACAACCCACCTGGTGTTAAGTGGTTACTGGAGCCCATAGGCATCTACAGCGTAAATGCGCCACCCACCTTGACATATAAGTTCTAAGGTGTCAGTATACTCGTAGTTGTAACGGCTGCCCCACCCTTCAGACCGAAACGCATTACTGCTTCACTGCAGAAATAGGTAGGGCGGTGGTACCTACCGGCGCGGGCTCACAAGAGGTTCTACTTACCACGTAAAATTTCGTAAAATTATCTGATGACAACTGCAAATAATTGTAGCTTTAGAATAATAAGAGCACCACCTAAATTGGCAGCACGCCGAAGCCGAATTCGGCAAAAGTTCTGTTGTAAGAACAATTGTTTTTATTTCATTCATAGCTTTTACACACAATAGTATAGTAGAACTAACTTTATAATATATTTTGTGATATTATTTTCTGTACAATTTAATTTTTAAATCATTAAATTTTTGTAGCTAACTATTTTTGTCTTTAATTAAAAACGTTTATGATTTTATTAGATCTTTTTTTAAATAAATTTTAAAAGAAAAAAGAATTGCGGTTTTTTTTAACATTTGTTTTTTTAACACGAGCCAATTTTTTTTAGAGTACCGGGGCCTCATTTTGTTATTCCCTGGATAGGTGGACGAGCTCATAGCCCATCTGGTGTTGAGTGGCCACTGGAGCCCATACACATTAAGAACATAAACGCCGCCATCCACCTTGACACAAGAGTTCTAAATCTCAGTTTTTACAGTACAACGGCTGCCCCACCCTTCAAACCGAAAGGCATTACTGCTTTACGGCAGAAATAAGCAAGATGGTGCTACTTACTCGTGCGAGCTCACATGCTCTATCACCAATAATTACGTAATTTTTTTTTTGAAGTGAAACTTCTAATGCGACTTCCAACGAGGTTGCGTTAAACGTTTAACGCTACCATGGAATAGAAAGAGACAGAGCGAGAGTGAATGCGTGGCACTCGAACGCATGCTCGTGGTATAACTGTCACAGGCCAGGGCGAACGTTAGCAACGAGTAGCGTCCAATATTTTAATGAAGTATTTAAAAATATGTACATAATAGCTCTACTGCGAACAACTGATGAGATTAAAGCAAGAAGTTGAGAGAAAGCAGCAAAAATTAATCAACAGAAGTGATAACGCTAGACCTCACACATATTTAGCCACTCATCAAAAATTAAGAGAGCTTGGCTGGGAGGTGTTAATGCATCCGCCGTATAGTCCTGACCTTGCACCTTCAGATTTCCACCTGTTTCGGTCTATTCAGAATTATTTAGGCAGTGTCAGGTTAACATCACGAGAGGACTGCCAAAACCAATTGTCGCGGTATTTTGATCAGAAGCCCCAAAATTTCTATAGCAATGGGATCATGTCCTACAAGATAGCAAAAAGTTATTGAACAAAATGGTACCTACATACTTTAATTTAATGTAAATAAACAATACTAATAAATGTTGTGGATATTCTTAAAAAAATGCGAAGAAACTTTTCCCCAACCTATTATAATTAAAAAAATATATATAAAATATAAATGTTGAAGATGTCGCATCTCTTATACACAGCATTTCCTATTACAAGAGCAATCCGATTTATGGATGGGAAATGAAGAAAACCACAATACGACACATCGAATAAGAAGTTTCACTTCATTCACGTGCACCAAATTGCACGCGCACAGTTTTTTTTTTCGGGTATTTTTTTTATTACTCGATGTTATTTCTTCACCATGGAAGGAATTCGTGAACAGTTTTAAGCACATATTTTATCAAAAATATTGGTACCTGCTAGCACGATTCGAACACCGGCCCAGTCGCATTGATGGATATCAATGTATACCGGGCGTCTATTACGAGTATGTGCTTAAGAAACTAATTTAAATTTAACATTAATGTTACTTATTATCAAAGTATGGTCGACGTACTTTTTAAAATCTACACGTGTATTCTATTTCAAGTTCTTTGCCCTGCAGACCGTGTATTACCATATCGTACTATGAACGCAATAGGCATAGAAAAAAAACGACAAAAATTATTACTGTGCCCTAGAACCGTGTCAATAGCTTATCTTACCCGTATACAAAGCGGGCGTTGACCGTATAAATTTTGGCTTTTTTTTATATGATCCCACCCGTGCTGTAGATACTACAGGTCCGTATCATGGATTATACTCCTGGTTTATCTTTCATTTGGTTAAGGTTCTCGTCTCAAATTCACGGGTTCAAGTTCTCAGTAGTTGGACGCGTGAATTTTGACTGTTCAAAAGGCAATTTGGTTGGAACGTTGAACTTGCCTGGCTGTAACGCTGTTGGCAGCTGGCCCATCTCACGAACCTCGATAGTACGAAGGACCATTCCTCCTCCTCCTTACGGTGATTTCGCAGGGTTCAAGCGAGCCTTAAATAGTACTAAGACCGTGGCCACTTGCGATTTTCCACAAACTACGGTGACCTCTTATTATGTGAGCCGTAGGATTGTTTGTCGCACACTGCAAAGTATTATTATTCTCTTCGATCTATTTTTTTTTATTGCATTTGTAGGCAGACGGGCATACGGCCCACCTGATGGTAAGTGGTTACCGTCGCCCATGGACTTCAGCAATGCCAGGGGCAGAACCAAGCCGCTGCCTAAGATAAGTACAACATGCAACAGATTTAGTCCGTGACGGAACGTCCTAGTGGTCGTTGTGTTTAGTTAAAAATACAATATTTTTTACATAGTTTTTACATATATACGGCATCGGTTACGATACGGTATAATAGGCAAACATCTTTATATGAAAAGCGACAATTTTTTTAACGTGTGAATATGGTGAATCGGTAGGCAGCGGCTTGGCTCTGCCCCTGGCATTGCCGACGTCCACTCCACCAACCACTCACCATCAGGTGGGCCGTATGCTCGGCTGCAAGGGCAATAAAAAATAATTGGAAATGCACGTTTAACAGTGGATTATGGGGGAGGCGTCTGAGCATTTAGACTGTTTATTAATTCTTTATTGTTTTAGATGTTCATAGATTCTTATTGATCTCATAAGCGAATCAAGGAACCATATGAGGATCATTGACGACACATCCAGTTATAAAAAAATTAAATCATTAAGCGATGACACCATAGTACTACTTATGGGAGAGAAACTTACGCAGTCGCCGCGCCGGCGTGTTCCATCGAGTAATGTAAACAAAACATAAAACCGTGACACAAGCGATTTGTACGCGTATAATTGATTGTCTTACACGTACCACAATCGGTAGATCCCTGGCCGGTCTA